TTGACTTTCTTGTGCATTTGCTTTCAGTCTATGTACTAGTTTGTATGTAAGTTTATGCTGTTGAGTTTCCTTGCATATTCTTGGTGAATTAGACTAGTGTGTTATAGTTGTTTTTATATTTGATTTTTTTTTTTATGTTCAAGTCTTATTTTCCCACTTGCTTGTTGTCATAGCATTAACTTGACTGTATTGATTGAATTACATTCGTTCACTCTGTACATTTTCCAGTGTCACCTGATGAAACTAAGATCATTCAAAAAGTGGCATGATGGTTGTTGAGTGATAGGATGCTGTTATATTTTATTTTCTTTGTCAGACTTTTTCTTGACTATTATCTTAAAAATCCTCTTGGAACACTTTATAATTTGGTTTTTGAGGACTATAACTATTTTAAAGGATCTTGGGAACCTTTTGGCTTTGTAATTAATGACTATTGTTAATATGTAGAAAGAACAATTTTGTAATCTCAAATATTGCTAACTTTCAATCTATAGATTTCTGAAGAAAGCTAGTCTTAATTAATGTCTCATGAACACATCCATGGTTTTATATTTTTTTTTGACTCTCTGAGAGCATGTTAAGTTGATTTTTATTTATATATGTTTAAGGGAAACATGGGATTTTTTCTAGGAGGAAGTTTAAATTCAAACCACATAATTCTTAAGTGTTAAGAGTTAGATGATTTTGGCACTTTATTTGCTGCATGCGACAAAGAAGAAAAATAGATTCTTTGTTTGCAGAGATGATAAGTTGGGTTGAGGAATTTAAAGAGTAGTGACATCGTTGAATTTAATGGAAGAAGATTGTTTCTACAGATTAGTTTTCTTGATATTGGGAAACGTGTGGACATTGGAATTGTTTTTATACCCTTATGTATTGCTGTTAGTATGCACTAATGTCTGACCTTAAAACTTAATTAATTATTCTTTTGTGCACTGACATGCACCCTGTTTTTGAGTCCAGAGGGCAATGGCATATGAACCACTTGTAGGTCATTTAGTCTTCAATATTAAATTGACATTGTTTCATAGTGTTAGGGAGCATGTTTTCCTTTTCGCTGTTTTCCTGTTTCAGGGTATTGGCTTGAAAGGTATTTAAAAATTTTACGTGGAGTCTCCAAAATTTAGTTTTCTTTTGGCTTCAAAATGTTATTTTAACAGTATTTTTCCATATATGATTCTCTGTTTTGGGATAGGAGACTAATTTATATGTATATTCAGAGAATTTTCTAGGTGAAGCTTTAAGTTGGCGCGCTTCTGTATGCACATCTAGAAGTGCATTTATGTGTGTTTTTTTTTTCCAAGTCATATGAAAGTAATTTCCCAACTTATATTAGGAAATAGTTTAGCTAATATGTTCAGAGTATGCTGGGATGCAAGGATCCTAAGTACATGTAAATTCCAAGATCCTGATTCTATCCTTTTCAGTTGAGCATATAATAACTTGAAGGTAATAAAGATACCATCTTGTGATGGTATTTCCAATTAATGCATTTATCATCAGCAATAAACGCTTTCAATACAAAAATCAATAAATGGTATGTTGGAACTTAGAAGGGAGTTTTGAAGGTTAGTAAAATATGATGGTAAATGCTAAATTTTACTAATACTTCTGTATTTAAAAATATTTAGCAATACATAACACTATCAAGATCCTCTGCTGGTAGTGGAAGAATGTTCCATCTTGGTAAACTGTCATGGTAATTCATCTCACTATTGAGTATATGGTCATTTAGCCACTTGTGTTTGGCCTGGAGATGTTTACTTTGAAGGGAGTTTTGAAGGTTCGTAAATTATGATGGTAAGTGCTGACTTTTTACTAATAGTCCTGTATTTAAAAATATTTACCAATAAATGCACCATCAAGATCCTCAGCTGGTAATGAAAGATCGTTCCATATTGGTTCGTGCCATAGTAAGTCGTCTTACTCTGAGTATATGATCATATGGCCACTTGTGTTAGTTGTCTTAGTATGAGTATATGATCATATAGCCACTTGTGTTTTGGCCTGGAGATGTTTTTGTTCAGTGTGTTAGATGACTTCATTTCAGACCTATTACAAAAAGGTTGAATTTTGATGCTTTGGTTCAAGTAATATCAGTGCTATGTCTGGACCTGTAAGGATGTGGTTTTGATTTTGGAGAGAAAAGTGATTATTAGCTTTTAGTAGACCATGTAGTCTTTTTTTTATGCATTATGAATTCTAATGTTTAGCGTGCATTCTTTAACTTTTCTTTTTGTTTTTAAATTTCCTATTAAGCTTTGGATTGCTGTATTTTCTGTTTTATATTTGTATGTAGTCATTGTCTACTTGATATATTGTTACTTATCTTGCATTATGCATTCCCACCCAAGTTCTTTATTCTATTAGTGAAAATTTATAAATTGTATAGGTAGTTTGTTTTTTTGGTGATAGAGGTGTTGGCTGAATGAAATTTTAACTTTTGAGATTTTTTTTGAGGTTTTCTCACTAACTAGTTGGTGAAATATTCATGGTAACATCTAGTGATTAGTTAATTTATTTGCATTTTCATGCACTGAAACCAGAAGTCTTTCACTTTCTTTAAATGGGTTTTATTATTTTTTACCTAGTGACTTCTTGTATAAAGTATACCTTTTTTGATGAATTACTTGATCATGCTGAAATTCTTCCTTTTTATCTTTGCCATTCCAGAGTTGGATGTACCAGACCGGTTGCAAAGTCCTGAATCTGAGAGCCAGCTGAGAGGCGACTTAGAAAAAAGAGAGGTGGTTCTGGTGATGGGGATAAATATCAAGAAGATAATGGAGACATTTTGGATAGACAGTTGTCTTTAAGGAATGATGCTGACAAGGATGGAAGAGTAAAAGATGAGAAGCACAAGGATGAGAGATACAAAGACAATGTATCGAGAAGACATGGGACCATTGAAGACAAGTACCGAGATGCTAAATTGAGAAGTGAACGACCAGCAAGAGATCATGCTAATAGTAAGTCTAGCGAGAAGGCATGTGAGGGATGAAAAAGATGCTGTGGAAGTTCAACAGAAGAAGTCCAAGCTCAAGATAGTGACCGTGAGCGTAATCATGACCATGATAGAGAGCGATGATCGTGATAGGGAGCGCAGTGTGATCGAGATCGAGAGTGGGATTGTGACTTGGATTTGGGACGTGATCGAGAACGTGAACGTTATCGTGACCATTATCGAGAACGTGATCGCAATCGTGATCATGATTATGACTGTGACCGTGATTATGGTCATGATTGGGATCGAGACCGAGATCATGGTCGAGAACTTGATCACCGTGACAGCAATTGGGACAAGGATAGAGACCGAGATCGTGACCGTGGCCGAGATATTGATCATGACCGTGATGGATTACATCTCGATGATCTGATTGCTACACACAAAGATGGCAGGGTAAGGAAGAGATCCCTTGATGATCGAGATGATGGTAATGACACTAAATCTAGAGGTAAGAAATCATACTATTCTGACTTGGAAAACAAATCATTGATGAGTGGTAGAGTTGAGTTAGATGCAGATAGGGGAAGGTCCCAGTCACGTCAAGCAAATGTTGATGCTGTTGTTGGCAGCAGCAAAAGGAGGAGTTCTCCCAGCTCGAGTTCCTATGGTGGCGCTGATGAGTATAGGTACTTTGTTTCTTTATGACACCCCCTTCAGTCTAGTAAATTTCTTATTTTGTGGATTATATGGTCAACTGAAAAAAATGGCATGGTATTGAGCTGTTAGTTTCTATCAGATTTCGGACTTATTGTTAGAAAATTTAAACTGATTTTATTTTCTCATCATGTGTGGAATTCTACTAATTTTTGCTGCTTGTGGGTAGGGCCCCATACCACTCTCCCAAGTGCTTTGTTCAGAGTATAATACATAGTTATTTTCATTTACAGACTTTTGAAACAGGAAGATTCAAAGTTTAGAGATTCAATGACGGAGCAGAGGTCCAAAGCAGCTTCATCAAGAGAGGTAACTAGCCTTTCTGGAGCATCTGAGAGAGGTGCTAAATACAGATCTTTGGAGAAATCTAGTAGAGTGGAGGAGGGCCATTCTGGGGAGTTGCCAACTGAGAGGTCCTCAAGTTCAAAAGCTTCACCAATGAGTATGATAGAAAGATCTCCTTCTTCAACAAGTCTTGAGCATAGATATATGATTAGAAGTGGTGTTACGCGGAGCCTTGACAGAGAGGAGACTGGATGGAGGAGCAGTGCCTCCATTGGTGGCGAGGATAGGCTAAGTCGAGACTTACCTCTTGAGAAGCCTCTTTTGGATGAATCCTCTCGAGCAGATTCCACCTTTTATAGTAGAGCTGGTCAGGGCAACTCATCTTTGATTCTGCAGCCACCTGGTTTCAGAGCAGGAATTGGGAGCCCTTCTTTCATGGCTTCTCTGGAAGAAGATAATAGAATTAATATCACCGGCCGTTACAAGAGGAGCAGTGATATGAATGTTGGAAGAGGGGCAAATGCCTGGCGGGCTGCCCCAAACTGGCCATTACCTGTTCCAAATGGCTTCATCCCATTCCAACCTGGGCCACCCCATGGTGGTTTTCAAGCTATGATGCCACAGTTTCCATCTCCATCTATGTTTGCTGTTAGACCCTCCATGGAAATTAATCACTCTGGGATTCCATATCATATTCCTGATGCTGAAAGGTTTCCTTACCATTTGCGCCCAATTGGCTGGCAGAATATGATGGATGGCTCTGGTCCAACCCATTTGCATGGTTGGGACGGAAATAATGCTGTTTTTAGGGATGAAGCACACATGTTTGGTGGTCCTGAATGGGACCAGAATGGGCATCCAATGAACAGTCGGGGATGGGATACGAGTTCAGATGTGTGGAAAGGGCAAAATGGTGATTTTGACTTGCCTCAACATCTCAGAAAGAGGATTATCCTGTGCAGGCCCCTCTTGATGTTTTGTGATGGACAGGAACATCAGACACCACAATATGAAAATAGCCATAGTGATGTTCAGGTGAAAAGCTTGGAAATAAGATCTAATGTCATGTCACCAGTGAAAGAATCTTCTAGATTTTCACCTGAGATTCCGCACAAGTCACCTAATTCTTCCAAAATGTCAAGTAATGATGATGCTGCTCATTATTGCCAGGTTTATCTTTCTAAACTTGACATCTCAACAGAACTTGCTGGTTCTGAGTTGTATGATCAGTGTATGAGCTTACTGAATGTGGAGCAAAGTAAAGATTTGGTTAAAGATGTAACAATGCTTGTGAATTTGAAGGTAGGGAACCTTTTTGTACATAACTCTTTCTCTTAGTATCTAGTTTTAGCTGATCTTTTGACTTATAATTCTCTTTTTCTCGAATTTTGTCAGAATGGTGGACGAGCTGTACAAAAATCTTCCATTGCTGTGCGTAGCCCTTCACTCATTCCAGCAACTAATGCTTCTGTTTTTCAGGTAGTATATAGGATAGAGGGACCTAGTCACATTTATATAAATCTCTAGTATTCTTTTAAGTGGGAATATATATAAATATGTGCATGCATCTAAGATTTTTCTTTCGGTTATTTCTTTTGTAGGAATTGCAAAAACCTTACATGCTTTTTTGTTTTTGGTTATTTTGAAACTTGGTTTGCTTTCTTTTTGAGGAAGATCTTATATGGTTGGTCTATCCTTATTCTGAAAACAAATGTGGAATCTAAGGTAGTGTTGGGTTTTAAAAAGAACATAGTTATTTTTCGTTTTCATTTTTTGGAAAATGAAAACAAGAATGAAACCATGTTTAATAATTGAAAAAAAAAAAACAAGCTTTTAGAAAATAAAAATAAAAATTGGTTCAAACAAGAAAACAAAAAATAAATTATTTCAATTATGAAAATAAGGGATACACATTACTTTTTTGCTTGAATTTTGCAAGTTAAGAAGTTAATCCATATTTGAACATTTTATGAAGCAATCGATTAATAAGTATTTGTTATTTTTATAATTAGAATACATTAATATTAATTATTTTCATAATTGCTTTGTTTTTTTGTCTTTAGATATATTTGGCATCTTGAATTGTTTATAATCTAGTCTTTTTTCTTTACTCAAATCTCTTTTACAATAGTAAATGAAACTATTAAACAAAATTCAGAAATTTAAAATCAGGGATAATGTCATTGAATATTTTATTTATTTTTTTAATCATTACTTTTTTAAAAGAGATTGTACAGTGATATCAAACATATTTCACTATTTTGCATTTTTAGAAAACAATTATTGTTTTCATTCATCAAATTCATTTTTAAAAAAAATAACTATTTTTCAAAAAAAAAAAAATCAAAAAGCCTTTTCTAAAACCAAACAAAGTGCAACTCTTTTCATTTTTTTTTTTATTTTCTTCTTTTCCTATATTTTTTAATGTTAGGTTATTGTGTTGGGGTTTTCAGAGAGAGAGAGATGGATGACTTTCCAATTTGCCCTATTTTTTCTTTCTGTGCTTGGTTCTCCATTTCTTTTGGAAAGGGGATGGCAGGAAGGGTTGTTAGTTCATCTGAAAGTCGTGATCATGGTTACAAAAAGTATGAGAGGAATAGGATTGTGAATTGTTAGGTAGCATTTAGTAAAAAAATTGACCTGTGGAATGCTTCCTTTCTCCCTATTTTGTACCACAGACCCTTTCTAATTTCTAATATTCGTAATAGTTTTGAACGACAATGTTTTCAGCTCCAGTCTGGAATGTTAACACTTTTTTCGTCCTCTGGGTCAAACGCAGTAAATTTCTACTTCCACTTTGAACTTAGGATTCTAAACTAATGATGGTGTTTAACCTTTTGTATTCTGACTTGCAGAAAGCCATGGACCTCTACAAGAAGCAGAGGCTACAAATGGATACTATGCCAAATGTCAATGGTGGAACGTTAGCAGTTATTTCAGCATCCAATCAGGAGAAAGGGAAGGAACAAAGTTCTGATCTTGTTGTAGAAGAAACAGAGGAGCCAGTTTTGACTTCTGATGCAGAAATGCTGGATTCAGCAATGCCAAATTCAGATCAGCAGAAAGGAGAAGCTGTTCCAACTGCTTATTCTCAGGAGAATATGGAGCAACTAGTTTCAGTTCAAAGCGGAGAGTTGCCAGATCATGTGGATAGCCTTCCTCCAGAGAAATCTCAACTGTCCAATATTGATATTGGTCAGAGGACCCCAGAGGTGTCTGAACCAGTTTTGAATGGTAATGAGGTGGAAGAGATTAAATCCGAACAGGTGATTTTGGGGGATGTAGTTGGAGAATCTTTCCAGTCACTGGATAATGCATCAGAGGCTGTTGTTTTGCCCACTGATGGTGAAAATTCAAAAGAAATAAACAAAACTGAAGGTGATAATTCTGTCTATAGTTGCAAGGAAAGACAGGATTTTGGGGATGCAATTAGTGGTTCTTTATTTTTGTCAGATGGTTCTCCTAAGGTCTCCGGGGCTTTGATTCCTGGGTCAAATGAGTCTGAGTCCTTAATTTTAAGTCGGATACATCATTCTCCTGAAAATACACATTGAGGCAATTTCTATATCCTTGTTCTTTAATGCGCTTTGGTTAATTTAATTTTGCCTTTCTTTTTTTTATTCTGTTTTTTGTTGCCCATCTTTATTAAGGAAATAAAATGAGATGTGCCATTTGGTTTCCTGGATTCGGCATCCTAACGTCTTGATTCGTGATCATCATCTTCCTGCACGACATTCTGTTTGGATGCATCTAACATATGAAGTTGCTCTATGAATCATCTCTGCTTTAGTCGTCATTACAAATGGCCATGATTTGGTTTTACTGTCTTCCTTTTTTTCTTAGGGGGGGGGGGTGTTTCTGATTCAAATGAATGGACAGATCTGCATTTGATCATTAATTTTTTTATGAGTTAGCATTAATTGTTGTTGCTAATGGTATTTGCACTATGATTTTAGTTTTGTAGAGATGCAAGTCAGGGTGACTCATATGACATTAATTTGACAAGGAATGTATTTTTTGTTAGCGTAAGGTCTCACGAAAGCATCGTTTGAAGAAAAATTTGCTTTCAAAACTCTAAATAGTAGGCTGCTTTAACGTCTTTCGCTCTTATGTGTTTATTTAGGTGGATGCTATTTAGTTTAGTCATTTAATAGAGGATTTTCATCAAAAAAAATTTTTTTAACTTGTTCAACAGGCTGATTGATGCTGTGTACTCCATATTTACAAATTATGTTCTGGTACTTCTAAAATTGCGTCTGGCGTGCCGTTAGCCTATTGCTTCTAAGCTAGTTGATCCATTTACCTTTTCTTTTTTGGCTCAAGAAAAACTATTTCTGCAGTTTAAATATAGTTTTAAGAAAATTCTAAGTACAAATCAACTGAATCTCTTTGAATCCATCAAGTCAAAGTATATTGAAAACCAAAATTTTGGAATTTAAGATTATTATTATTTATAAATTAAATTTTGATAATGTACAGCATACAATGTCATTTATTTTTTTTAAGTGTGACATAAGAATGTATATGATATATTAATATTTATAATTTATTTGAATTTAATTTGATTAATATTGAAATTTAATTTGATCATTCTTAAATTAAATTTAAATTTAAATAGTTTAATTTATCCAACAAATTAAATTTAAATATGTTAATATCTGATTTGAATAAATCATGATATTAATCAAATTTTATTATTTTTATATATTTTTTAATTATTTTATTTATGAATTTACTATCTTACCTTTAACTTAAAAACCCTAATCTTTTTCATTTTATTCTCTCCCTCTATTATTTCACTCTTATTCCCTGTCTCTCCCATCCCACCAAAAACCTATTTGTGGCGCCCTTTCTTCTCACTTTCTTCCAATCTTTTTTGATGTTGATGTAATAGCCAACTAACTATCCTACTAATGTCAGCTTAGTTTTTTCGCTCCCCCGATCCTAGGCCAACCGCGTTCCTTTTCCTTTCACTCTCTTTCTGATCATTTTTTTGATTAGTCCTTCTCTCACTCCTTGATCATTTGGTAACTTTTTTTAATATTTTGGATGCTTTCTTATATTTATGAATTTTGACAGTAAAATTTTGGAATTTTTACCAGTGTTTGTAAAGAAATTCTGTGATCCTTGGGTTTGTTGCGATGTGTTTAAAACCTCCGACCTAACAAATATATATTATGTGGTGGACGCGTTAGCCCGAGTATGTCTTAAGTTTTTATGGAGTTTTGTTTTTGCAAATCCTATTATCACATTTTTACATTAGCTTTTGAAAATATGTGGGACTTTAATTTGGATTTGATTAATTTTTACACAGTTTCTAAGAGATGATTTTTATTGGATTTGATTATTAATTTAAATATTATTTATTTTTTAATAAATTTATTAAGTATTATTGTTGAGATTTGTACGATTTTTTACTATAACTAAAGTTAATCAAGTAAGCTTAATTTAACTAAAACTTTTATCTCAGGTTGAATTTAAACTTAAAAAATAAAATTCGATCGAATTTTAATTAATTTTTAAATTTAAAATTTTCAATTAATTTTAACGTCAAACATAATAATGTATTGATTTGATTTTGTTTGATTATGCTTTAATGTCACAAATTAAATTAAAATTGATTCTTTTTTTACATTTATTTTTTATTTTTACATTTCTTTCTAAAAATAATAAATATTTTTTAAATTATAAAAATATAATTTTTATTTACGAGTGCCTTTTGCTTTTTGCTTTTTTTAATTTTTTCACTTTTTCTTTTTAAAAAATAATAAATATTTTTTAATTATAAAAATATATATTTGTAAAGATTGTATTTTTATACGTGTAATCTACTTATATCAAACTTTTTTTTTTAATTTTTTGACCTTTTTCTATTTTTTTCTTTTTAAATGAAAAATAATTAAGATTTTCTTTAAAACAAACTTAAATGATGTGCGGTCAATAGTTTCATTTTCATTGATTATCGCGTGTCATTTTCATTGTTTTTTGTTTCTTGACTTTTTTTAAAATTATTTAATAAATATTTTAAATGCTATAAAGATATATATATTTTTAAGATTTTACTTTTTATGTTTGAGACTCATTTATTTCAAATTTTTTTTGTTTTTTACCCTTTTTTATTTTTCTCTTTTTAAATAAAAAATAATTAAAGTTTTACAATACATTACCAAAATCCAAGCCATGTGTAACCTTTTTTTTATTATTTTTATTTTTCTCTATTTTTGATCAATTTTTTAAATATTTAATAAATAAAATTTTAATAAATTTTATCTTTTAAATGAGACCCACCTAATGCTAAACCTTTTTTTTTTTTTTTTATCATTCTTCAAGATTTTAAATTTAATTTTTTATGAAATCAATTTGATATTTAGGTATACCATGAATTTGCTTTTTATTATTTTACAATTTTTATATTTAATGAATATTTTTTAAAATTTTAAAATTTTTTTTGTTTCACCGATACTAATGATATATCATATGTCATTTTACTTTGTTCCTTTTAATCTCTTTTTTCCTTTTTTATCATTTTTTTTCTATTTACTTTTTTTTTTTAATATTTATATATTTTTATAATATTTTACTTTAAGACAAACTGAATTTTTTAAAGAGAAATGAGTTCAGGTTGAAAATATATTTAGAGTATTTTATCTTAAGTTATTTTAAGGTATATATAGAAATTTATATTTTATTAGTTATTTAATTTTATACATATATATTATATTAATAAAATTATTTTTTTACTTTAATTTAATAAATTAATATTTTAAACTCATGTCAATATGACACTTTTGTGGGTTTTTTTTCCTATTTTTATTTTTTATTTTTTGTATTTAATTTTATTGGATAAATCCATAACATTAATTTTGGTATCATACGAATGAACAATGTTGATCCGTTAAAGAGCCACGTGTTAATCCGTGTTTGGTTTTTTTTTTTATGGTTTTACCTTTTTTCATGATTTTTTACTTTACTTTTAAAAAAATTAATTCATTTTTTTAAATTATAAAAAATATATATTTGTAAAGATTGTATTTATTTGTGTGGGACCCATTTATAATTTTTTTTCTTTTCCTTTTTTACTTTTTTTCAATTGAATTACATATATCAAAATTGATTGTAATATCATCAATTATATGATTAATTACAATTATTATACTATTTATTCTAACATAATATTTCTAAAATACCCTTTTTATCATAATTAATCAAAATTATTATAAGACTCCTATAATTATGATTACAAAAATACCCTCATACCATTATTAATCAGAATACTATAATGCTTCTATCATATTTGCTAAAATATCCCTCATATTAGAATTTACCAAAACTACTATAATACCTTAAATCATAATTATAACAATATCCTCTTATCATTATTATAAAAATATCTCTCATATTATGATTGGCAAAAAATACTATAATATTATCTAATTATATTACAAAAAAACCCTTTTGATTGCTTTATATAATACCTCTCAAAACATAATTACGAAATACCTTTTATATTATAATTGATCAAAATGACTATAATACTCTCTAAATATAATTAAAAAAATATTATTTTGATTGCATTATAGTTATGCATTAAATTTTAATATTTATACAATAATATGAAATGAATCCCCTTAAAAAAGATCATAGTGCCATTGTAATTACTCAATAATTAAATTAAATGAATCCAAATTGATTGCAATACTCATTTTTCTATAATTAACTAAAGTTATTATAATGTCTTTCTCAACATAATTATTAAAATACCCTCTTACTATAATTGGCTAAAATTATTATAATGCCTTTACAACTACAATTACATAAATGCTATTTTACTATAATTATAAAAATACCCCATTTATTATTATTTGTCAAAATTACTATAATATCTTATAACTATAATTAAAAAGTTACTTTCATACCATAATCACGAAAATATCTCTCATATTATAATTAATTAAAATTACGATAATACATTTTAATCAGAATTACAAAAATACCTTTTTGATTACTTCATATAATGCCTCTCTTACCATAATTATGAAAATACATCTCATATTATAATTAACCAAAATTTATTTGATACTCTATTATGAAAATACATTTTTGATTACGTTATAAATATGCATTAAATTTTAAGATTTATATAATAATATAAAATTAATTCCCTTAAAAATGATTATAATGTCTTTTTAATTACTTCATATAATACCCTCTTTTTATAATTAACAAAAAATACAATAATACCTCAATTAATATATTTATTAAAATACCCCCTTTGTCATAATTAGCCAAAGTTAATAAGATACCCCTATAACTATAATTATGTAATACCCTTTTATTAGTGTTTGCTAAAATTACTTTAATACTTCTCTTATCATAATTATAAAAATACATTTCATATTATAATTTACCAATATTATTATAATATCTTTTTATTATAATTACAAAAATATCTTTTTTATTACTTCATAGTTATTTATGAAAATTAAAAAAAATTTATGATCCTAATGTAGCCGGATAGTTTTTCTTATTATTATTATTATTATTATTATTATTATTATTATTATTATTCAACACCTAAACAAAATATCGGATTTTGCCCCGAA